GTGTCCCTGTGATGGACTGGAGACCTGTCCAGGTGTCCCTGTGATGGACTGGAGACCTGTCCAGGTGTCCCTGTGATGGACTGGAGACCTGTCCAAGTGTCCCCTGCCTCTCTCACAGTGACTGCTGGACATGCAACCTGAAAAGGAAGAAGCGTGTAAAGATGATGGATGAATTGGGGTGGCCCGTGGGGTGGCAGAATGTTAATCTGTGGGGGTAAAGACCACCATTGGCCCCCCCTTGGCTCCACCACTGCCTCAGGTATTGAGCCAAATGTCTCCTTCCGTCAGCAGGATCTGTCACTGCGCTGCTCGGACAAGCAGAACAAAAGAACTCAAACCCCTCTCTCTCTGTTCTCCTCCTCCACCATAACCCTCAGCACTGGCTCTCCTCAGGGATGTGTGTTGAGCCCCCTCCTGTTTACTCTGCTCACGTATGATTGTGCAGCTACCCATCCAGGTTGTCACACTGTAAAGTTTGCAGATGATACAGCGGTGGTGGGATGCATCACAAACAATGATGAGTCCAGCTACAGGCAGGAGGTGGAACACCTGGAGAGCTGGTGCAGGAAGAACAACCTTCACATCAATGTGAAGAAGATGAAGGAGATGGTTGTGGACTTCAGAAGGAGCAAACACATCTACACCCCCCTGAACATAAGAGGATCTGCGGTGGAAGTGGTCTCCAGCTACAAGTACTTGGGTGTGCACCTGAACAACAACCTCAGCTGGAGCAACAACACCACCAGCCTGATGAAGAAAGATCATCAGAGACTCTACTTCCTCCAGATGCAGGAAGAGGGCCACCTGCATCATGAAGGACCACACTCACCCAGCACACACACTTTTTGCCCCGCTCCCCTCAGGAAGGAGGTTGAGGAGCATTAAGTGTAGAACCACTAGACTGAGGAACAGCTTCTACCCTGAGGCTGTTAGACTCATGAATCTCTAACCAGGATAATCACTGTGATGACACTTTATCTGTGCTGCTGATCTCATGCCTTTAAGCTGCTGTTTTCATACCAGTCTGCTCACACAGACTCGTGTTCAGGCTGCTGTTTAATAAACATATTATATCGTCTTATTATTACAGCGCCTTGCTAAAGTATTGGGCACCCTTGAACTTTTCAACCTTTTACCACATTTCAGGCTTCAAACATAAAGATATAAAATTTTAATTTTTTGTGAAGAATCAACAACTAGTGGGACACAATGTGAAGTGAAATGAAATTTATTGGATGAGTCAAACTTTTTTAACAAATAAAAAACTGAAAAGTGGGGCGTGCAGTATTATTGGGCCTCTTTACTTTCAGAGCAGCAAACTCAGTCCAGAAGTTCAGTGAGGATCTATGAATGATCCAATGTTGTCCCAAATGACTGATGATGATCAATAGAATCCACCTGTGTGTAATCAAGTCTCTGTATAAATGCACCTGCTCTGTGAGAGTCTCAGGGTTCTGTTCAAAGAGCAGAGAGCATCATGAAGACCAAGGAACACACCAGGCAGGTCCGAGATACTGTTGTGGAGAAGTTTAAAGCCAGATTTGGATACAAAAAGATTTCCCAAGCTTTAAACATCCCAAGGAGCACTGTGCAAGCAATCATATTGAAATGGAAGGAGTATGAGACCACTGCAAATCTACCAAGACCCGGCCGTCCCTCTAAACTTTCATCTGGAACAAGGAGAAGACTGATCAGAGATGCAGCCAAGAGGCCCATGATCACTCTGGATGAACTGCAGAGATCTACAGCTGAGGTGGGAGAGTCTGTCCATAGGACAACAATCAGTCGTACACTGCACAAATCTGGCCTTTATGGAAGAGTGGCAAGAAGAAAGACATTTCTCAAAGATATCCATAAAAAGTGTTGTTTAAAGTTTGTCACCTGGGAGACACCAAACATGTGGAAGAATGTGCTCTGGTCACATGAAACCAAAATCAAACTGTTTGGACACAATGCAAAACAGCTCCTCACCCTGAACACACCATCTCCACTGTCAAACATGGTGGTGGCAGCATCATGGTTTGGGCCTGCTTTTCATCAGCAGGGACAGGGAAGATGGTCAGAATTGATGGAAGATGGATGGAGCCAAATACAGGACCATTCTGGAAGAAAACCAGTTTGAGTCTGCAAGAGACCTGAGACTGGGACGGAGATTTATCTTCCAACAAGACAATGATCCAAAACATAAAGACACATCTACAATGGAATGGTTCACAAATAAATGTATCCAGGTGTTGGAATGAACAAGTCAAAGTCCAGACCTGAATCCAATCGAGGATCTGTGGAAAGAGCTGAAGACTGCTGTTCACAAACGCTCTCCATCCAACCTCACTGAGCTCCAGCTGTTCTGCAGGAAGAATGGGCAGAACTTCAGTGTCTCCATGTTCAAACCTGATGGAGACAAACCCCAAGAGACTTGCAGCTGGAACTGCAGCTGGAACTGCAGCAAGAGGCGGAGCTACAAAGGATTAACGCAAGGGGGGCCCAATAATACTGCACGCCCCACTTTCAGTTTTTATTTGTTAAAAAAGTTTGACTCATCCAATAAATTTCATTCCACTTCACGATTGTGTCCCACTTGTTGTTGATTCTTCACAAAAAATTAAATTTATATCTTTATGTTTGAAGCCTGAAATGTGGCAAAAGGTTGAAAAGTTCAAGGGGACAATACTTTAGCAAGGCACTGTAACTTAGATCCTTATGTACTGTTGGTTTTTATACTTTATATTTGTAACTGGGACCCTGTGTACACAACGTGGTTCCACCTCATGTACCACGTGATGCAAATGACAAAGAACCTGGAACCTGGTGGACTAAATCCTGTTGGTCTGTTAGCAAAATATCTTAGAAAGCACTAGAGGAATGTTGATGACTGATTTTTACTGTTTTGTTGATGATCTGTTTTTCTGTCAGCTGAAGAAGCTCGTGTACGTGTACCTGGTGAGGTACGCCGAGGAGCAGCAGGACCTGGCTCTGCTCTCCATCAGCACCTTCCAACGGGCCCTGAAGGTAACATTAATGATGTTTTCCTGCGGGCCCTGAAGGTAACATTAATGATGTTTTCCTGCAGGGTTTCTTCGGCTGTTTTAGCCGTTCATTTAATCCTTAAGAACGTTACATCTTTCACTGTGGTGTTTGATAACTTCTCTACTTTGCTAAAAAATTAACTTTGTGTACATTTTTTGTTAGTAAAATAAAAAAAAATCATATCTTTTCAAATCTTTGCTCTTTGAAAACTATTTTAGTGTTCTTCCTTATTTTTTAGATTTTAGCTGTTTTGCTCATTTGAATTTTAGCTGATGTTTTGCACATTTTAACTTTGGCTGTAATTTTCCCTCATCTTACTTATTTGCCGTTTTTTATTTTTTTATTTTGTCCTTTAAAACTGTTCCCTGTCAGTTTTCTGCATCGTTCTGCTGAACTCAGCCGTTCCTCGTCTCCTCTTAGTTTTTACTTTGGGTTTAAAAAACGCACTTTCATTTTTACTTGTCTCTGTATTTTTGAAGCGCGTTCTTTAATCTGTTTGACGCCGTTTTGACCGTAATGTTTCTGTGTTTTACACCTGAGCACATAATGACTTGTCCCCTGAATTTGAATAAATTGTAAATGTTCGGTGTCGTGTGTTCCAGGATCCAAACCAGTTCATCCGAGCGAGCGCTCTGCGGGTTCTGTCCAGCATCCGTGTCCCCATCATCGTTCCCATAATGATGCTGGCCATCAAAGAGGCCGCGGCCGACCTGTCGCCGTACGTCAGGAAGACGTCTGCGCACGCCATCCAGAAGCTGCACAGGTGCTTTCCTACCCGAGAGGACCTCGAGAACATGAGCAGGTTCCTCTCACCGAGGGACAAACTTTCAGTGATGGCTTCGCTGCAGGCGTTCTCTGAGGAGAAACGAGTTTTTAGGGAAACCAAACATGCACGACTCGTGTGAGCGGTCATTTGATGGGCGGGCGCTCGCTTCTAGTCCTACCGAGACATTTCTGAGTCAAAGCTACGTCCCAAACATCACACGGGCACTTTATTAACATCTAGTTTTAGATGGACAAAAGAAAAGGTAAAAAAATAAATTATGAACACATTATTCCTAAAATAAAAGATTTTCAGAGCTTTCAGGACCTGTGTGACTCACACACAGGTCCTGAAAGCTCTGAAGCAGGTGAACCCCCACAAGGCTGGGGGCCCTGATGAAGTTCTCCCAGAGTTCTGAAGACCTGTGGGAAACAGCTGGACTATTTGCTGACATCTTCAACCTGTCACCCCAGGCTGTGGTCCCCCTTATTTTCAAATCAGCATCATCATACCAGTTCCCCAAAGTCCAGAAACATCTGCCCTTATCGACTAAAGGCCAGTGGCACCAACATCTGTCCTAGAAGAACTTGTTCTTAAGCACTTCAGCTGCATGGTCCCAGATACTGTCCACCCCCTCCAGTTTGCCTACCACCCTGATCAATCAGTGGATGACGTGGTACCAACAGCCCTGCACCACACTCCGCAGCAGAACGTGTCCTCTTCCTGGACCACAGTTCAGCTGTCGGCACCATCCACCCAGGAACACTGAAGAGAAGCTGACAGACCTCAGTGTCCCGACTCCCACCTGTAACTGGATCCTGGACTTCCTGACAGACCACAGGTGGTGAGAATTGGAAGACTGGTGTCTGCTGAACTCACAGCACAGGAGGCCCACAGGGCTGTTGTCTCGGCCCTAAACTCTTTACTCTGTACACTTATGAATGTGTCTCCACCCAGCACAGCACCATCCTTATTAAATATGCTGACGACACCACAATATCAGGGCTCATCTAGGAGTGGGACGAGTCAGGATACAGGAAGGTACCACAGGTAGACCAGGCTGTGGAGAGAAGAACGACGTCATCTTCAACACGGACAAGACCAAATAAATCATGTTGGACTTCAGGAAGAACCCTCCTCCATGACAGCCTCTCATCATTAAAGGACTGACAGCCAGAGGTTCTTGGTTCTGCAGGTGGCTTCAGACCTGAACTGGTCTCTCTACACCACAGCTGCAGGGAACAAAGCCCAGCAGGCTTTACTTCTGCTCAGGGGTTTGAACCAGCGCCCTCTCACCCAGGAGTATCCTAACCGCAGGCACCACCGTCTGGTATGAGAACACCACACAAGCAGAAAGGAAGGTGCTGCAAGAGTCATGAAGACTGGAGAAGATCTCAGGGACCAAACTTCCTTCATGACTTGATGTTTGAACAGAGCGGTGGAAGAAGAAGCAGGACTCATCCAGGACTCACTAAATCCAGGACTCACTCCATCCAGGACTCACTAAATCCAGGACTCATCCAGGACTCACTCCATCCAGGACTCACTCTCATCAGACACAGACGTTCCTCTGACCCGAGACACAGCAGAGTGGATCATCAGCCTGAAGACAAAACTAAAGAACAGATGATAACCCACACTGGTCATGTGACCTGCTTTACTTCCTGTACAGACAGAAACACTTTGTTCTCATTTCATTTAGTGTTTCAGTGTTTTTGACTGAGAGAGCTCTGACTTCTCTCTCTACCCGTAGAAAAACATTTAAGTATTCTTCTTTAATAACACATGAATAATAACACATGAAGTCGGAGTACACCAAGTAGAGGCCAATTAGTTGGAATGAAAAATAAATACTTGATTGCTTTGATGTTTTATCCTTCCTGTCATTAACTTGACTCGGCGTAGCGTTTCCCAGCAGCGTGTCTTGAAGGTGTTCCAACAATGTTCTGGTTTCAGGGGAAGGGGATGCAGTCAGCGTGTCTCGCTTCTTCCACCGTTCACATATTCACAGACGGGAAACGGAGCTGTTTACTTGTTTGTTTAGAAACAAGAACATTTAGTTTTATCTTGGTTTTGGTCAGAATTTGAAGAAGCCGTTTCATGAGGCCCCAGCTCTTTGTCCTGGACCACTGAAGATGTTTGAAGGTCTTGAATTACTGAGGATTTGGCTTTGATCAAGACTTGACACTCAAAAAATCATAGTTTGAGTTTTTATTATTTTCAGTGTTCAAAACTCATGTTCATGCTGCAAGTTTATTAAAAAACTTTAAGTTTATTAATCAAGTTTATTAATATGTTTTGTCTTCAGCCTGGATCCAGACCAGAAGGAGCAGCTGATCGAGGTGATCGAGAAGCTGCTGAAAGACAAAAGCACGGTGAGAACTTCCTGAAGGTGAACGACCACTGGAGGGCGACCCAGACCAGCGATAAGCGCTCACCCTGCAGCTCATTCCCACAGACCAGAAACTGTTCCACACATCTTCACATGCTCCTCGTTAAACATCACATCTTCACATGCTCC